ACCCATTTCCTTCATAGAAATCTCTCTCTGTGTCTATATATATGTATATATGCCTGGTGGCATTGTGGTTAAGAGCTACGGTTGCTAACCAAAAAGTCGGCAGTTCGAATCCACCATGCATTCCTTGGAAACTCTATGGGGCAGTTCTACTCTGTCCTATAGGGTCACTATAAGTCGGAATCGACTCAATGACAACAGGTTTGGTATATATACATATATATATATGCTTCCCTGGTTTTGCTTCTCTAGAGAACCCAGCCAAGACACAGGCTACTTCCTCAGCCTGGAAGATCTTCTGACAATCCTCTCATATCTTCTCCTTCTTGCTGTTCAAATCAAAGCTTAGGGGTCATCTCCTTACAGATGTTTCTCCTGATCACCTAATCGAGTGAGCCCACTCAGTGATTATCTATTACATTGTCCTATCTCAATTCTCTGCATAGCATTTATGACTGTATCATATTTTCATTGGTTATTTATTTATTATGATTACTTACTATCATCTGTCACTCCCCTAAAACATAAGTTACAGAAGTGATAGCCTTGTTTTTCATGTTTAGTGTTGTATTCTCTGAGCTTTAAAAGTGTTTGGCATTAAATTGGGCCAATCCAACCCCAATCAATTCTGTTTTCACACCAACTACAAATGCAGTACTTCTTCCTCTGACCCTAACTACCAGAAGTAGGTCAGAACTCACAAGTTCTCCAGACTGCCATGTCTACCCAAGATTTCAGACACCAGCCACAAGTTTGTGAGTCTCCATGCCACCCTCACTTCTGACCTGTTGGCTACAAATTTCCCTCTACCCTCTCAGTATACTAGTAAGCTTGTGGATCCCCAGGCTCCCCTTACATCTGATTGCTAGCTCCCATCACCCCCTCAGTTCAATAATTTGCTAGAACATCTCACAGAACTCAGGAACGCACTATACTTATTACAGTTTTATTATAGCAAAAAGCAAAAAGGATTCAAGTGAAGAAATGCATAGGGTGAGGTCTGGAAGGGTACTGATGTGGAGCTTCCATGTCCCAAAAAAGGGGCATGTCACTCTCCCAAGCACCAATGTCTTTTACCAACCAGGAAGCTCATGGGGATTCAGTGTCCAGAGCTTTAACTGGGCTTCATTATGTTGGCATGCTTGATCAAGTCATTGCTCAAGTGATTGAACTCAACCTCCAGTCCCCTATCCCCCAACGCAAGGTAGGGCTGATATCACATGGTGGGTCTTTCTGGTCTGGCCAGCCCCCACCTAAGAGTCACCTCATTAGCATAATCTGTTAGGTAGGTGTCTTAGTTATTGTCATGGATTGAATTATGTCCCCCAAAAAATATGTATACTAATTTGGCTAGGCCATGATTCCCAGTACTTTGTGATTGTCCACCATTTTGTCATCTGATATGATTTTCCTATGTGTTGCAAATCCTGTCTCTATGATGTTGATGAGATGGGATTAGTGACAGTTATGTTAACAAGGCAGGACTCAATCTGCAAGATTGGATTTCGTCTTGAGCCAATCTCTTTTGAGATATAAAAGAGAGAAGCAAGCAGAGAGACAGGGAGACCTCATACCACCAAGAAAGCAGCACCAGGAGCAGAGCACGTGCTTTGAACCTGGGGTCCCTGCGCCTGAGAAGCTCCTAGTCCAGGGGATGATGGATGACAAGGACCTTCCTCCAGAGCCAACGGAGGGAGAAAACATTCCCCTGGAGCTGACACCCTGAATTTGGAATTCTACCCTACTAGGCTGTGAGAGAATAAACTTCTGTTTGTTGAAGCCATCCACTTGTGGTATTTCTATTATAGCAGCACTAGATAACTATGACAGTTATCTAGTGCTGTTATAACTGAAATATCACCCTTTGGCCCCCCAAAATTCATGCCTTGCCACATGCAAAACACATTCCCCCCATCACCTCACCCCAAAGTCTTAAATCCACTCCAAGTCCAAAATCTTATCTTCTGAATCATCTGAATCAAACATGGCTGAGACTTTAGGCATATTCCAACCTGAGGCAAAATTCCTCTTTATCTGAGAACCCGTGAAATCTAGACTATAAGTTATCGGCTTCCAAAGTACAATGGTAGAACAGGCACAAGGCAGATATTTCCATTACAAATGGGAAAGACTGAAGGGAAAGAAGGGATAACAGGCATCAAACAAGTCCAAAACCCAGCAGAACAAATTGCATTAGCTCTCAAGGCTTGAAAATAATCCACTGTTTTCTGAGACCATCTGGGCAAAAGCCCCGCTCTCCAGACATTGGGTGTTGGCCACATCCTCCGGAATCTAGGTAGAGGTCCCTAGACCCTGGGCTTCAGCTTCACCCCCCAAGCCCACTGGGACAGAAACTCTACTCTCTTGGCTTTGGGCAGCCCCATTCTCCTAGTCCAACTGAGTGGCGACCCCACCCCCTCCACCCTGGTAGGACCCGTTCTTTTGTCCCTTGGGCACGGCAGCCCTGCCTCCTCAGCTTTGGGCAGTGGCCCCATCCCTGTGGCACACCTTAACAGCAGCCCCACACTCTTGAGCTGAGTTGGCGAAGATCAGACTCTTTGAAACCTAGGAGGCTGTGGCCCCACCCTTTGAGATCCAGGAGACCCTGGCCCCAACATTTGAAACCAAGAAGGCCCTGTTTCCCGTGCTCCTTCCAACAGTTCTGCTGATCTTCCAGCAGCTCCAGGGATGGTCCTTTTCTTCTCTTGGAGGACAACAGACGTAGCTCCTTTGGCCTGTTTCCCGCCTGTAGAATTCCAAGACACAGACAACTTTCTTTCTTTTCGCTCTTTCTCTGTCCCCTTTAGTCTAAGCTGACGGGTTTTCTACTGTGGTAGTTGGTTAGATCCATCAGTCACAGACTTAATCTCTTTAACAAAGATTACATAGCCACGTCCTTGGTGAAAGTTCTAGGACATGTGTAGTTAGCTTATACAACAGAATTTTCCAAATCTTTAAGTTCTGTTTTCAATTTGCACAGTTCATTTTTAAATCCGTGTCTTTCCTCTCACATTTTACTAAAAGCCACAAGGAGAAACCACACAGCCCCTTTAAGATCTTGCTTAGAAATCACACCAGCCAGATATCCAAGTTTATCACTTACAAGTTCTACCTCCCACCAAACATTTGAACATAATTCAGACAAGTTCTTCTTTGCCACTGCATAGAAAGCATCACCGTTCCTCCAGTCCAATCACATGTTCATTATTTTCTTTTAAAGCCTCACCAGAAGCACATTTAACATCCATATTTCTAGCAATATCCTGTTGCTGGCACCATATGTATTCTCTAAGACGATAGAGACTTTCTCTATAGCTCTCCTCACTTCCTTCTGACCCCTCACCAGCACTACCTTTGATGTCCATAATTCTACCAACTGTCTCTTCAAGGCAATCTAGGTTTTTACTATTAGGCACCTTAAAAGTCTTCCAGTCTCCACCCATTATCCAATTCCAAAACTGCTTCAACATTTTAGGTATCTGTTAGAACAGCACCCCACTCTTCCGGTACCAAATTCTTAGTTACCCAGCGCTGCTATAACAGAAATACCACAAGTGGATGGCTTTAACAAACAGAAATTTATTTTCTCACAGTTTAGGCGGCTAGAAGTCCGAATTCAGGGTACCAGCTCTAGCGGAAGGCTTTCTCTGTCAGCTCTGGGAAAGGACCTTGTCTCTTCAGCTTGTTTCCTGGTTCCTTAGAGATCTCTGTGTGGCTTGGCATCAGTCTTCCCCCATGTCTCCTCTGCTTGCTTGTTTAGTCCCTTCCATATCTCAAAAGAGATTGACTAAAGATTCACCCTACACTAATCCTGTCTCATTAACATAAAATATAACCCTTTCTCAAATGGGATTGTAACCACAAGCATAAGGTTTCAGATTTACAACATATATTTTAGGGGGACATAATTCAATCCGTAACAGTACGTATGGTCAGGAGGCCTAAGGGGCTAACAAAGACTGCAATCACTAGGGAAATTCCATGGTTTTGGAGGTTGTTTCTCAGGAATTAAGGAAAAAGTCCAAATTCTTTGGGTAAAATTAATTGTAAACCCCACAGGCATATAACCAAAGCAAACCCGTTGCGGTCGAGTCAATTCCGACTCATAGAGACCCTATAGGATAGAGTAGAACTGCCCCATAGAGTTTCCAACGCTGTAATCTTTATGGGAGCAGACTGCCAGGTCTTTGTTCCCCTGCAGAGCAGCTGGTGGGCTCAAACTGCCAACCTTTTGGTTAACAGTCGAGCACTTAACCACTGCGCCACCAGGGCTCCTTCCACAGGCACATAGTAGACGCTAAATAATGTTTGTTATCTATTGAATAAATGAACTAAGACTAATATTAACAATTAAGAGTATAATGACAAAGACTTTCTAAAACATAAAAGGAAAGCATTTCATCCGGTTCCATAAAAAATTAACAAGCCAAAATCTCAGCAAGACATATTCAAATAATTATATTAATTTTTTTATCTGTAATATGTAAGCTCCATGAGCATGGAGACTGTATTTTCAGGGCCTGGCACTGAATCCAGTGCATGATAGATGATCAATAAGTATTTGTTGAATGAATGTCCCTCCAGGTCTAGATAATAAAATCCAGTGAGTTTGGTTGCAAATATGATTATAAACTAACAATAACTTCATAGGAAATACACTAGAGTTGTAAAATTCACATGGGTCTTACCCCTTTCAAAACAGTCATCCTGGAGACCTACAACGTATTCCATTGTTGCCAACATGGTTCTAGAGAGCTGTTTTAAACGTTTTCATAAAACGTCTGTGTGCCTCTTTATCTCACCAAAACACACAAAAAAATGCTATCATTTAGAAAAAAAATGTGCTTTAATACACTGAATTTTAAACCGTGATCTCTTCTGGCATGCCTCTATATCTGTGACCCCTTTCGGTAGCATTATTTGGACTGGTAGGAAGTCTTTCACATAAACCATGTCCTTAAATAATTTCAATCACAGAAGAAAAGGAGTAACCTTTTTATTACCTCTAATTATCCTGTAACTCATGAGTCCCTTCGCAGGCTTCAATGGACAGGCTTCCTCACTGGGACAGAAAAATAGGTAGCAGTTGGGTTGTCTAGTCGTTTTTCGAGTGTCAAAGATCATCAAGTTACATGCTTTGTCCCCTGCAAAGAAAGGTTTCATGTGCATTATCGTGCTTGATACAGTATTTTCTAAAGAGTAGGGCAAGCAGGAAGAACTTCATTTATTCTGGTGTCCAACACAAACACCTCTGTTCCCTTGCTTGCTGACAGCTGAATCATTTCCTTTTCCTTTAATCACTTAAAGCAATTTTTAAAGACACTAGGTTTTAAAATCTGAATGAAGGTGATCTTTGGCAAAACCAGTTTTTAAATAGTACATTTAATTCTTTAGAAATAAGCCTTCGATTTGCTAAAATAGCCATTAAAATATATATAGATGATATGACTTATAAGTTAAGACTTAAGAAGTGAATTTAACCCGTTTATCTCTTGTATCCAGGAGGCATCTCAGACACTGATAAAGTCATAAGCCTGGCTTTCTTGGGTGGGGTCCGTAAATTAATCATCATACATATGCGTCATTCCATAAAGGATCTTAGTGTACGGAATACAAAGTTTATCTGTCAGTTTTTATCACAACTATTCTTTCGATCTTTCCTTCCCGTTTTCCCCCTCTTCCTTACTATTTCTGCTTTTCTATTTTCCTTCCTTGCTTTTCACTCTTAACTTTCATTTCTGGCTTCTTTGTCTCTTCCATCCAGTAGAAATTATTCTCTCTACTCATTGTGGCTTAGAATTGGCTTTGGCCTCAATCTGGCACAAAAATCTCACATCTTTTGTGATCCTTGAACTAAAATAGGGATCAGTGTATCTGTGGTAAGGTTGAAGGCTATGGGGACACATAGGCTAATTATTAAAAATGTGTGCTCTGCCAGCCATCATAACCACTTCTAGTAAGGCAACCTTCAAGGGTCAACCCTGGCTCCCCCACTCTGCCTTCTCATGGGGAGCAAGACTTCACAGCATCTACGAAGGGGTTTTATTTTGTCATTTCTCTACTACCCAGGTAACAAGAGAGGTACTCTAGCTTTTTTTTCAACAGTGTGATAATTCCGCAATACTATTCTTTTTTGGCACTTTGGTAAAGAGGAGAGTTCGTAAACTCCCCAAGCTTTATGCAAAATTTTGTGTGCCCTGCGTTTACGTGCATTTCTCTGGAGTCCAGGGCTATGAGTAAATGATCAAAAGTGAACCCTAATCAGTTCAAACTATTGCTCAGTAAACAGCCTAAGATCCATTCACAGAGGCCCACAGGCACCTTTGCTTACAATAAAGCAGCAATGGTACCTTTGCTTATAGAATAAAGCAACAAAACCTCATTTTTTTTTTTTCCCAAAAGCCTATGATGGAACTAGGAAAATGCAGGATTTCCTAAGCGGCCAGGAAATACTCAAGCTGATAGCATGCAGTTCTGTTTGCGGGTGATGTTTATTCATATGCTGATATCAACATTTAAAGGACAGCTAAAATTTTAAACAAAATCTGTGTAATTTCCATAAATTACTTCTATAAACAGTGTCCAAAAACACACGCCCAATTTGAGAAGACCATTATATAAAGAAAAAGAAAGAAAGATCTAAGAGTAATAAATATCTGACTTAGTTGACTAATAGGTTAAGTAAGAGTCACTAGTCCAGTGTTTAATTCTTCTACATTCCTCGACAGCAAGGTCTTATCCACACTGCTGTCTCTCCAGCCCCTAGCAAAGTGTTAGGTACTCAATACATTCAGCTTTTGCGTTTTGGGAATTAGGACAACAGGGTCACAAACAAAATTAAAGGCCGATCATTGTTTCACTTACACATACACTTCCTTTGCAAAACAAAACCAGTTGCCTTCAGGTCAACTCTGATTCATGGCGACCCCGTATGTCTCAGGGTAGAACTGCACTCCATAGGGTTTTTAATGGCTGTGATCTTTTGGAAGTAGATTGACAGAACTTTCTTCCAAGACGTCGCTGGGTGGACTCGAACCACTTACATTTAGTGGCCTAGCACTTAACCTTTTGTGCCACCCAGGGCCTCCAAAATATGCAAAGGCATTGTTCAAACTTCGGAGCCTTGATTTCCTGCTGTGTCATGTGAATGGGCCAGACTCAGTGACTTCCCGTGCCCCTTAAGTCCTCACAGCTGCAACTGCCTAGTGGCCAGTGGCTTCAAGATCCGGCCTGTGCCATCAGCTCTAGGAAGGGACATCAAGAGGAGGTTTTGGGCTTCTACTTAAAAGTCAAATACTGATTTTCCCTCTGAGTTTAGAATTTTATTTTGCATCTCAACTGCATTTCCCTGTTAATAACCGTTCTTTGTAATATCACACAATATTTCAATACTCCATGATGATGGCATCCAGGCATTTAAAAAAGGATTTTTATTTTCAGTATCGCAGATGCCTCCTAGAACATAACACCAGTGGTTCTCAATCTTCATTCTACCCAGTCACCTGAAGGACATACACACACACACACTCATCAGTAACTTCCAGCTTAGGGGAGGGAGGACACACTGGTGGACAAGGTGTTACTGTTGTTGTTATTAGCTGCCATTGAGCAGGTCTCCAACTCATGGCAACCCCAAGTGCAATGGAATGAAATGTTACCCGATTTTGCACCATCTCCATGACAGTTATGGATCGGACCGTTGTGATCCATAGGGTTTTCATTAGCTGATTTCAGAAGTGGATCGCCAGGCCTTTCTTCCCAGTCAGTCTTAGTCTGGAAGCTCCACTGAAACCTGTTCAGCATCATAGCAACAAGCAAACCTTCACTGATAGACAGGTGGTGGCTGCTCATGAGGTGCACTGGCCAGAAATCGAACCCAGGTCTCCTACATGGAAGGCAAGAATTCTGCCATTGATCCACCAATGGCCCCACTGTGGATAAGTATCTCCAGTGATTTTGCCACCCACCTGATTGAGAATAACTGGTAGAAACTATTCAGCGACATCAAGAAGCTATTTGTCACACAGCAAGTGGAATGAGCAGATGCCAAAAGATTATTATTTACCTGATATGTTTTTTGTTGAACAGCAAGAATTAATGCAGTCTTTTTGAGTTAATGTGTATATGGGCTCATTGCCTCTGATTCCCTTCGAAAGAGATGACTGGATGTCAATGACAACATCTTCTAGACTCTTGGTGGGGCAGTTCTGACTGGTGCACAGCCTCAGTGTCAGGAAACAAATTATTAGAAAAGTGTAAGTCAACCTTCGTTCTTCCCTGAAAAGCATTTTAAATTTCGATTTACTCTTGATCTTCAAAGGTCACGTGTGATCATCCCTCTGGTCTTAGTTTGCTTCAAGAAGATTGCACAGGTGATGGGATTGCTTTCTAGAATCAAAATCAAAACAGAAAATCATCAGTGAGTTGTGCTTCTTACAACAAACCCAGGGAAGAAACATTTCATTTCCTTGGAGTCAACAAGAACTACCCACTTACAATTTGTAAAAGGACAGAAACGAACAAGTATGTTTTATTTGTTTCACTTTCAAAAAATTTGAGACAACTTTTCATTTAAAAATTGGCAAAGAATTAATAAACACAAACATGTATAATATCCCATTAATGCTTAAAATCTGACAAATGTCTATGAAGGAAGAGGCCTACCTCTGAGTTCTAGAATCCTTTCTCTTCTTGCGTCTCCTAACCAGATAAAGGAGAAAGGACACACAATCTCTACTCCTTGATGAAGCAGGGATAATAGGTTTGGGCATATTTCTTTTCTCAGATACAACAGACAGCATTGCGCTAAGTGATGTACATGGAATTACCTTACTTAATCCTTACATTAACTATGTATAAAAGCCACTATTTTCCTCATTTTATAGATCAGAAAACTGAGGCTATCTTTCTTATTGATACCTCTCCTTAAGTATCAAACCAGAGATAGGAAACTATAATAACCTAACTTTAGGAATTAGTCAGCAGGGGGAATATTCTGGCTCAGCTGAGGGAAAGTTTAGGGGCAGGTGTTCTTTTTGACATCTCTAAAACACAAAAGTCACACTGCGTATAATATCAACTTGACTGGTAAGCTGATTCTTCTAGGAAGAACAAGTGTGAAACTGACAAAGCAAAGCCAGAAACTATCCCCACCCATCCACCTCCACACTTCCAGAATACAAATTGTTCACTGAGTAATACCTAGAGCAGAATCATCACGTCTCTACTTTTTTTGGACACGAACCCCTTTGGTCATCTGGTGAAGCTTAGGATCTTTTCTGATAGAAATGTTTTAAAATGCATAAAATGAAATACAGGTAGTCCCCGACTTACGACAGGGTTTCCTCCAGACGACTCCATCGTAAGTCAGTTCTGACGTTAAGTCGAATACCTAGTTTTGTTTTTTAAGTTTTCATTATTATTGCCTTTTATTATCAGTATCTTTATAAATCCAATCTTTATTTGTCTTTAGGGGTTGGCATGAGAATGATAACATCAGTAAATTATACACTGCAACATTGTATGTAGTACATATTACTAATGATAAGATGTAAAAAAAAGATGATTGGGAGTGTAGTTCGTCATAACTCAAATATGTCGTAAGTTGGGGACTACCTATATATAGGACTACAAAGGATTCCAGTTATATTGATATGTAATTATCAAAACAGTTTAAAATACAAATGTGTCTACTAAACTCAGATAAAAGAAATCTAAGATCTAAATAAATGTTCATGGCTAAGAAGACTCAATATCATTAAGATGTCAGTTCTTTCCAACTTGATCTATCGATTCAATACAATCCCAATCAGGATTCCAGCAATGAATGATCCCAAAGTTCATATGGAAAAGCAAAAGACTCCGAATAGCCAACACAATACGGAAAAAGAGAGGTGGGGCCAAGATGGCAGAGCAGTCAGATGCCTCCAGTGGTTTCTCTTACAACAAAGACCCAAAAAAACAAGTGAATTGATTATCTGTGACAATCTAGGAACCCTGAACATCAAAGGCAAAGTTGAGGAATTGGACTGAGTGGCAGAGGGAGGGAGAGACGGTTCAGAAGCAGCGAGGAGTTGCCAGACCTGACCCTGCGGGAGCCGGCGCCCTGCGGGCCAGACTGGCTGGTGTGCGTGGTGAGCAAGCAGTGGTGTTCAGGACGCATTTTCCACGTCGGGAGAGACCAAGCAGTGAAGAGTCTGCTCAGGCCTCCAGAGCCAGTGAAAAGCAGCACTCAATCGGCAAAAGATAAGTACATGCATTTAACTTACTGCATGCATCAAAAAACACCCCATTTGGGAAGAACCTTTCCCATTTACCTACTCCCTCCCAGCTTTGCACCGGTCCTGGGCTGGCTTCAGGGACTGCCCCCTCCCGTGGGCCGGAAGTAGGACCCTTCACATGCCCTGAGCCATTCTCTTGGCCTTGGAGGGGGAAGAAATTAACAAACAGGAAAAAAATAATCTGCCAGCTCCCCTAAACTGGAAACTCAGGATAGGCACAGCTCCCTTGTCTAGGCAGAGGCATAAAGGGTCCACAAACTTTGAATTCCTTTCACCCCTGCACAGACCTGTGTGGGCCCATTTCATCAGCATAGGCCCTAATTACCACAGTACAACAGGGTATATACCTGAAGCCTAACTTCACTGTATCAGCTGTATGGTGGAGTGGCAGGTTTGTGACATTTGACACTGCTCTGCCCTTTAAGCAGGGTCCTCACCTACTCACATCAGGGGCCTGAGGACTGGTGGCTCCACCCATGCCACTTAGCCACCTACAACAGGGATCCAAGAATAAGTGGTGTCTCCCAGTCCTTACACCCAACAGCACTGGGTGCCCATAGTCCAGCTACAAAACCCACTCACCTACGCACTCTAGGGAACAGGGACACACTTTCCTCCCAGACACTCAGGGGCAGCTGTCAGCCCCCTGCCTTGCTCAGTGCGTGACCCCCTACTGCAGCCAGATACCTGTGCCTACTCCAATCACCCCTGCCCATCTAGGACTGTAGGTGACAGCCTGCACCACACACTTGATGACTGACTTTCTGGGCACCTGAGCTGAATCCATACAAGAAAAGTAAATGGACTCCTGGGCTCACATACCTAGTAACAGATCTAACCACCTGGTGACAGGATGTTAGAGCTTCACAGGTGCCAATAATCAACCTAGCTCACATGAGCAGCCTATTTGGGCATATCAAAGCAAGAAGCTAGGGCACAGTAAGCATACATTAAATATAATAACTTATTGATGGCTCAGAGACCATAGTCAATATCAATTCATTATACTGAAAAAGAACAAAGTAGGAGGACTGATACTACCTGACTTCAAGATTACTGGAAAGCTACAGTAATTGAGACAGTGGTGTATTGCTGAAATAATAGACAAATAGATCAATGGAACAGAATAGAAAGCCCAGAAATAGACTCACACAAATACAGTCAACTGATCTTTGACAAAGAAGCAAAGGCAATTCAGTGGAGAAAGGATGGTCTTTTCAACAAACAGTGCCGAACACCTAGACATCCACATGCACAAAAATAAATCTAGACACAACCTTACATCTTTCACAAACATTAACTCAAAATGGCTCACAGACCAATATGTAAAATGCAAAACTATAAAACTTCCAGAAGATAACAAAGGACAAAAACTAGGTGACCTTGAGTTTGGCAGTGAGTTTCTAAATACAATACCAAATCATGATCTATGAAAGAAAAAAATTGATACTTTAGACTTCATTAAAATTAAAAACTTCTGCTCTGTGAAAGGGGCTGTTAAGAGAATGAAAAGACAGGCCACAGACTGGGAAAAAGTATTTGCAACGCACATATCTGCTAAAGGACTTGTATCCAAAATATACAAAGAACACTTAAAACTCAACAGTAAGAAAACAAACAGCCCAATTGAAAAATGGGCAAAAGATATTAACAGGCACCTCACCAAAGAAGACATATAGATTGTAAATTAGCATATGAAAAGATGCGCAACATCGTGTATCATTAAACTAAATCAAACCAAACCCATTGCCATTGAGTCAGTTCCGACTCACAGCGCTACCCTATAGGACAGTAGAACTGCCCCACAGGGTTTCCAAGGAGCAGCTGGTAGATTCGAACTGCCAACCTTTTGGTTGGCAGCCAAGTTCTTTACCACTGTGCTACCAGGGCTCCTATAAACCAAAAACCAAACTCGTTACCATCGAGTCGATTCCGACTCATAGCGACCCTATGGGACAGGGTAGAACTCATACAAGTGTACAAAACGAACAGTGAACCCTGATGTAAACCGCAGACTTTAGTGAATAATAATAAAAAAAGAAACCATCACCAATAACAACAAAAAACAAATATGATCAAAGTATGTGGTGATAGAACACAAGTCTAATATCTTCTTTGCTGTTATGTCCAACTTATGTAAATAATAAAACCATAACACTTATCGTGTGTTCTCACATGCCATCTCTATGTAAGCACTTTACGTGTATCATGTCATTTAATACAAGAACCTAATGTATCGATCCCATTATAATCCCCATTTTCACTTAAAAAACTACTGTGTAATATAACATGTGCCTCTTATCAATCTATTAAATAATAAAGGCATGTCTAATATCAGCCATAGTTTTGTAGTGCTGAATGAGTATAAAGGTCTCTGGGCGGCACAAGCGGTTTTTGATGGGTTGCTAACCTAGAGGTTGTTGGTTGGAACCCACACAGCAGTGCAGAGATTACAGCCAAGAAAATCCTATGGAGCGGCTCTATTCTGTAACACATGTGGTCACAATTGACTTGATGGCAACGGTTTTTTGTTTTTTGTTTTTTTTGGTTGAGTGTAGATCATATCTAGAGATATCTGCAACCCAAACCCAAACCAAACCCATTGCCACCGAGTCAATTCCAACTCATAGCAACCCTATAGGGCAGAGCAGAACTGCCCCATAGAGTTTCCAAGGAGTGCCTGGTGGATTCAAACGGCCAACCTTTTTTGGTTAGCAGCTGTAGCTCTTGATATTTGCAACAAGTAACGCGATATGAAACTATCTGTGATTTCTGTAGGAGCTCTGGTGGCGCAGTGGTTACGTTCTACTGTCCTATACAGTTACTATGAGTTACTATGGCAATGGTTTTGGGTTTGGTGATTTCTGTTGTTGTTCTTGTTGTTAGTTGTCATTGCTGTGCCCTTTCAAAAGCTGATCACCAGGCCTGACTTCCGAGGCATCTCTGGGTGGGTTCAAACCACCAACTTTTCGTCTAGAGGTCAAGCACTTAACAGTTTGTGCCAGCCAGGGCCACCTGTGATTTCTACTGATGTCAAATCACAGGTACTGCTCATACTATTGTGGCTTGGTGCCTACACTCCTCTTCAAGGAAATTCTACATTTAAGATTAGTGACAAAATAAAAATTTCCACCCAAGTTCACAGGCTTCCTGAATTCTGTCCATGGACACCTTGAGTATCCGAAGTTAAGAATCCCAGCACACGAATTACTTACTACGCTAGCATGCTTTGTAAGTCTCTTTTCTAGTCCTAGGGAAACAAAAGAGAAAACCAGGCCAATACTTTGCTTTGAATGGATTCTGACATAGTCTCTCCTCAAACTTTTGCAAAGAAACCTGAATTATGCAAGAGGGTGGGGAGCGTATCAGGAGCTGTGTTTCAGTAAGGGCTGCTATAAGTACTGAAAAGGTTATTTCACTGAAGATACTCAACAAATATTAGGTACATAAATTCTTCTAATCATTATTATTTGATATGTCTTTAGGTCTTAAAGGTCCAAAGTCGAATTGAATTCTATCAATAGAAAGGGGAAAAAGATACAGGTGAGAGGAGAGGAAGTACCTGAGCTTAACGCCTGCTTACTGGAGTCACTAAAACGTATTTATACATAATTGTCAAATACTGGAAACGATTTTATTCCCAGCATAATCTAATCTATCAAGATGGTTATAACTGCACACACACATACACCCTACGGAGCATTAGACAATTAGCAGGTTCAATAATGAATAGATGAGATCAAACCATATTAAGATGGAAAATTTTCCTTTCCTTTCAGGAAATATAAGTTGCTCACTGAACTATTCTTCGGCCTCTCCTTCTGATGACAACGTGGAGCCAGTGCTGTTTATGACAGATGCTTCTGGGCTTGCCTGGAGATCCCCTTTGGGATACTGCAGCGACGCAAAGGTCCTGGCCAGCCCCTGATTCGCCCCCAGCCTGGTCCTCCAGATGCTCACCTACGCGTCGAGGAGTCTCGGCCCCAAGAAAGGCGGAGTGCAGATCTTCCAGCAGGTGACAACGCTGTCAGCTGCCGGTCTGGGGGGAGGGCGGAGTCGCCCTTACCTGACGGCAAGAGGACCTCTGTTGCCCTCCGAATGCGAGGACAGCTCCGTAGGGCGTTACGGCGAAGGACCAGAGGACCCACGGGAAGAGCTTGGCGAGGGCTGCAGAGGACGCTCCGCAGCTTCTTCACCCGCCCAGCTGATTTGTGGTTAGCAAGTTCCTGCTTCCGCTGCAGCCTCGGAAAGTTTGCAGACGGGAGGGGACATTCCTGCCGCCCAGCCCTGCAACCCGGAGCTGCTTCCCTGAAAAATCGAGCGTGGTTCCCTTGGCACCTGGGAGGGTGTCGTGCGCCCCTCCTCGCGGTGGCTCCAAGCGCTCAGAGGCAGCGCTGAGCCCTCGAGAGAGCCGCACGTTCCCCGCTGCCTCCACCCCACTCACCTAAACCTCGGACCCGCGGGTGTGGACGCTGGGAGGGGGCGCGAGCCTGGTGGTTGCGGGAGGTTCTGCAGCTACGCCATCTCACCTTCCGGAGGCGGGGGCCCGCGCATATGCACGTGGTAAAAAAGTCAAACAGAACAAAAATGGATACAGTGAAAAATACATCGGCCTCCCACTCCTGGGTCCTAGTCTCCTAGTTCCCTTCCTGAGAGGCAACCACTGAGAGCATTTTCTTGATGTTCGTGAGTTTATCATTCATTCTGTTTGGGCATGTTTATGAGACTTAGAATTTCTGTTTGGAAAATCGGAGGCATCTTCAGTTAGGGTTGGCAATTCTTACGTGCAAATCAAGTCTCAAGGAAGGCATGTGGAATTCTACAAGATTCATTGTTCATCAGTATATAAAAACACCGAGTTCTGTTATAGTTATTAACCTCATGTCCCTGACGCTTAGCACAGTGCTTGGTACACAGTAGCTGCTCAGTAAATATTTAACTAAAAGGTATTTCTTGATTGAGTGAATGAGCAAGAACGACACTGGGCACCTAGGTGGTAGAAGTGGGTTTCTAAATCACTGATCCCCTCCTCTTCCCCATACACCCATTGCTGGCAAGTAGGCAGAGTAGAACTGCCCCATAGGGTTTCCAAGGCTGTAATCTTTAGGAAGCCGACTGCCATGTCTTTCTCCCGCGCAGAGCGGCAGATGGATTCCAACCGCTGACCTTTCGGTTAGGAGCGGAAATCTTAACCATTGTGCCACTAGGGCTCCTTCCTCCCCGTATACAAACAAACAAATGCAATCTTACCAAACCACTGACATAACTTGTCGGTAGTATGACTCAATGGGCAACTGGTTCCTGGTTTAGTTGGTGTGCAAAAGCTTTCAAACCTAAAGCACTGTGCAATTGTGGATTATTCTAGGCCTGTTAGAGCCAAGCTACACCCTAGGTACTTTAAACCAATAGCTACAGGAGGCAAATGTTGACACAGAAGGCCCGCAAACAACTGCCTTTGTTTGACAGTAACTCTGTTAGCTGTGTCCAGAGAATTACCTATTCTTGCATTACAGTAATGTTGCAAGAGCTTGGTTTCAAAGGTTTACCACGGAAAGGAAGCTCCAGAGCGATTTCCCATTGCAGGGATTTCACTGATGCAAGAGACTTATGTACATGGGCCTTTTATTTCTGCATAGACACACTTGAGGGTTCATGGTATAGAAAGACCACATACTTTGAATCCCCCTACACCAGGTAGTCCAGAGCTGAGCACAAAGTAGACTTTCTCCACTTAGGAACTTCATTCAGATTTAGTGTTGTAATACAATGCACCTGGTATCATTGAAGTGATTTTTTTTTTTTTTCAGTCTTATGACAGTGAACAAAGGACATTGGTGAAAATAATGATTACAGAAATGTTTTGCTATTGACATGAACCAATTGTTAAAATTAGAAATCTTGTCCATCATCACTTCATTGCCTGAAGACATTCTTGATCTTCTCAGAGTTAGAGGTCCCAGCTATGTAGAGGCAGGTGAAAAAAAAAATTTTTTTTTTTTTTAAATTCAGAAAACATGTGTTAAGCACTTGTTGGGGGAAATTAAAGACCAATAAGACATATGATCTACCTTCAAGATGCTTATAGTTCAGTGGGGGAGACAGACAAATAAATGGTTATGTAAAGAATAAATATTATGATAGAACATGCTAAGGAAGCTCAGAGTAGGGGCATCTAAGTTGAACTGTGGAGTTTGAAAAAGGCTCCAGAAGTAAGTATATAAGCTAAATCTTGAAGGATGAAGTTTGGTTAGCCAGATGGAGGAGGAAAAGGCTGAATATTTCAGACAGAAGAAACAGCATGGCCCTAGAAACAATTTCATCTGACTAGCATGAAGGATGCCTGTGTACACAGAGGGATAGAGAGAAGAGGCTGGGGTCAGAGCAAGGAGCTTCTTGTATGCTACACTTTAAAATTTACCTTGAAGTCATAGGCATTATTAAAGGTTTTTAGCAGGGCAGTGATAGGTCTAGAGATCTGATTAGTATTCTAGAAAATCCTCTGCCAGCAAGGTGGAGGATGGGTTGAAGGAGGTGAAGTTGGAGGCCTCTGTGGTCCAAGGAGTGAAAGAAGTAATGAGGTCCTGATTTGGACGTGGAGGTAGAAGAGATTAAGGAGACAGGTTCTCCAGCACCTGGTGACTGATTGTATCTGGGGGTGAGGGTGATCAGATGTCTGGCTTCGGAGACTGGATGGATTGGAATGCCAGGCAATATGATGCAGAACGTGGGAGGAGGAGCCAGTCTGGAATGGATGGGGCCTAATAAATGGAGCCCTGGTTTTACCACTCATTAGCTCTGTGGCCATGAATAAACCACTTAACCTCCCTGTAAAATTAGGGAAGTGGTATCTACTTTATAGGTAGGTTGTACAGGTTCAGTATATGTGAAAGTGTTTCTAAGTTTGAAAAGGCTGTCAATTGTCATTTATTGCAAATATAGGCCATGTGGATTGTTGCTCATGTGGAAGAGATTTTTTTTTTTAATTAAAAAAATTTTTTTTTATTGTACTTTAGGTGAAGGTTTACAGAACAAATAGTTTCTCATTAAATAGTCAGTACACATATTGTTTTATGACATTGGTTAATAACCCCATGACATGTCAACACTCTCCCTTCTCGACCTTGGGAGGAACTTTTTTTTTTTTTTTTTTGGGGAAAAAAAACAAAGCCAAAGATACACCATTTCAAAAATTTCTACATGCATAATTCAGTGACATCAATTACATTCTTCCAGTTGTGCTGCTATTCTCACTATCCTTTCCTAAATTATTCCATCACCATTGTCTTCAACTCACTGTCCCCTAGGTTTCCCATCAAACCGTTTAAGTTGCTGTTGTCAATTTGATCTCACATAGATAATTCTTTTTGTTGTTGTTGTTGTACTTTATATGAAGGTTTACAGAACAAAATAGTTTCTCATTAAACAGTTAGTACACGTTGCTCTATGACAATGGTTAACAACCCCACAACATGTCAACACTGTCCTTACTCAACCTTGGGTTCCCTATCACCAGCTTTCCTGTCCCCTCTCGCCTTCTAGTCCTTGTCCCCGGACTGCTGTGTCTCATTAGTTTTGTTTTATGGGGCTGTCCAATCCCCAGCTGAACACTGAACCTCAGGAGTGACTTCACCACTGGGCTAAGAGGGTGTCTGGGGGCCATACTCTTGGGGTTTCTCCAGTCTCTGTCAGGCCAGTAAATCTGGTCTTTTTTTGTGTGTTATGATTTTGTTCTGCATCCTTCTCCAGCTCTGTCCAGAACCGTCTGTTGTGATCCTGGTCAGAGCAGTCGGTGGTGGTAGCCGGGCACCATCTAGCTGTACTGGACTCAGTCTGGTGGAGGCCTTGGTAGCTGTGGTTCATGTGGAAGAGATTTTAAGGGTGCTAAAAGGCAGCAGTCCTCAGATGTCTCCTATATCTAACCCTCCATCCCCAGCAGAAAGAATCCTTGTATTATAAATGCCTATTTAATTTTCTTGCCACCAGACTTGAAGCTTCCTAAACATAGGCAGTAGGTCTTATGGGATGGTTTAACCTTAGCCTCATTCAAGTGCCTAGTATATTAGACTCCCAATAGACGCTGCGTTAATAAATGAAGGCATTTTATCTTCAGAATATTCTTGTTTTGAATAACAGCTTTATTGAGAGATAGTTCACACATCATACAATTCACCCAAGTAAAGTGTACAATGCAATGGTTTTTACTATATTCACAGTTTTGCAACCATAACGACAATCAATTTTAGAATATTTTCATCACCCCAAAAAAGAAACCCTGTACTCACTAGCAGTAACTCCCCATTTCTCCTCCAACTCCCCCCTTCTCCCAGGTCTTGCTGTTAGTTGCTGTGGAGTTGATTCCAACTCATGATGATGCCAGGTATGCAGAGAGCTGCCCCACAGCGTGTTCTAGGCTGTGACCTTTCGGAAGCAGATCACCAGGCCTGTCTTCTGAGGGGTCATGTTTTTAAATTTCATCCATGCTGTAGCACGTATTACTATTTCATTCCTTTTGTTGTTGTTGTTAAATAATATTCCATTATATGACTATATCACATTTATTTATCTATTCATCAGTTGATGAACAGAATATCCCTTTTAGATGAAATGTTCATCCAAAGGGAAACAGAAAACACCATCACATCAGTATGGATCAGAGTATGGAACTCAAGATGCTTTATGTGGAAGAGGGAGTACAAGAGCTAGAATATGAGTTATTCTCCTCTCTTTTTACATCCTCTCTCTCTCACTCCCCAGAGATGATAGATCTAGGGGGGAGCCAAGGGCTCACTGCTTAGAAGGCTCTTCTCGGTCCCATCAGCCTGGGGGTTTATGTAAACCTCAAGACTAGAGTCATACATCACCTTTGCAGCCTATTCTGATCCCTCAGGCAGTGTTTTGTTCTATCTTCATAATCCTACAGAACCTTGCATTTACTTTCATTTACATTTTTCTCACTGTATTGTAATGTTGAGTAGAGGACAGCACACCAGGTTTGAAAACAGACAGTCCTAAATACTAGTTTCACCATTTTCTACTGGTGACTATGAGGAAGTTACCTGTTTATGGGCCTCAGGGTAGTTGTGAAAATTAAATAAGGTAAAATAGAGAAAATGTCTGTCATATAGTTGTGAAAGTTACTTAAAAAATTACTCCTTACACTCCTTTGGATATGTTTATCAAGATATGATATATATATTAGATATATGTCATATTCTGATATGTGCCTGTATATATATACATATAGATATATATATATATATGTATATATATACACACAGATGGAAATTTTCAAATATGAAGGCACTCATCTGAGGACAGGAATGGCGGGATCAACATGCATTCCCAGGAAGCAAAAGGTCAGGATGTCAACAATTTGTTCCTAGAATGTGTAAAACCAAATCAGATAGTACCACTCACTTAGGGAGTAAAACTCACTCTCTCCTAGCCAAATGGCTGACCTTTACATTTCAAAGAACTTCAAAACTGAAGCTGAATGGTAACCATTAACCCCTTACCTTTCCTTTGTTCTCTATGCATAAAAACTTCTTCCTAGATAGAAGCAGCAAGTGCTTTGTATTTTTACTTGGTGCTGCCCAGCTTAAGCTGTATTATTTCTCAATAAAACTCCTTTTCTTTCACTTCTAACAGAGTACAAGATTTTCTTTTTGACATATACATATATGTTGCTGTTGTGATGGGGCGCCATTGAGTCAGTTCTGACTCATAGTGACCCTACGCACAACAGAACAACACACTGCTTGGCCTTGCACAATCTCCACAATCGTTGCTTTGATCCCATTGTTGCAGTCACTGTGTCAATCCATCTCGTTGAGGGTCTTCCTCTTTTTCACTGAACAACTACCTTACCAAGCATGATGTCCTTCTCCAGGGACTGGTCCTTCCTGATAACATATCCAAAGTATGTGAGACGAAGTCTTGCCATCCTCATTTCTAAGGAGCATTCTGGCTGTACTTCTTCCAAGACAGATTTGTTCATTCTTCTGGCAGTCTATGGTATATTCAATATTCTTTGCCAACACCACAATTCAAAGGCATCGATTCTTCTTCAGTTTTCCTTATTCACTGTCCAGCTTTCCCATGCATATGAGACAGCTGAAAATACCATGGCTTGGGTCAGGTTCACCTTAGTCCTTAAAGTGACATCTTTGTTTTTTAGCACTTTAAAGAGGTCTTTTGCAGCAGATTTGCCAATGCAATATGATGTTTGATTTTTTGACTGCTGCTTCCATGGCTGTTGACTGTGGATCCAAGTAAAATGAAATCCTTGACAACTTCAATCTTTTCTCTGTTTATTATGATGTTGCTTATTGGTCCAGTTGTGAGGATTTTTGTTTTCTTTATGTTGAAATATAATCTATATTGAAGGCTGTAGTCTTTGATCTTCATCAGTAAGTGCTTCCAGTCTTCCTCTTTCAACAAGCAAGGTTGTGTCATCTGCGTATCGCAGGTTGTTAATGAGTCTTCCTCCAATTGTGATGCCGTGTTCTTCATATAGTCCAGCTTCTTGGATTGTTTGCTCAGCATACAGATTGAATAGGTATGGTGAAAGGACACAACCCTGATGCACACCTTTCTTGATTTTAAACCATGAAGTATCCCCTTGTTCTGTTTGAATGACTGCCTCTTGATCTATGTACAGGCTCCTCATAAGCACAATTAAGTGTTCTGGAATTCCCATGCTTTGCAATGTTGTCCATAATTTGTTATTTTCCACACAGTCTAATTCCTTTGCATAGTCAATAAAACACAGGTAAACACCTTTCTGGTACTTTCTGCTTTCAGCCAAGATCCATCTGACATCAGCAATGATATCCCTCATTCCACATTTTCTCCTGAATCTGGCTTGAATTTCTGGCAGTTCCCTTTCAATATACTGCTACAACTGTTTTTGAATTATATGTATATATATTTCTCAGAGCATTTGCTTGAAATTTCATGAAGCAAATAATATAAACGAGTTACAAAGTTCTCAGAACTCCAGAGCCACCCAACACCTTGATGGCATTCCATTGCTAGATCTCCGTCCTTGACCTACCAGAACTGGCAGTTTGCTTCTTGCATGACTTGTACTCCCTCTTCGTCTTTTAGTTTCAGAGCAGCTTGTCAGTAATTGTAAAGGTCCCCAGAAAGTGCCTAGAAACTACTATAGGGGCATCCTAACACGTGAATCAGTATTTTCTATTTTTTTATTCTTCTCTCATTTCCAGTTCCTTCCTCCTTGGTCTCCTAGCTTTTTTTGTGTGGTCATTCCCTGCCAGACTTCTGGCTTCCGGAATTTAAACAAGGGCTCTGCATCTGGACAGTTATGGATTCGAATCGTCCGTCTGTCTAGCATCTCTTAGGGCCTTGGTTTCCCATTGGTAAAACTTCTGTGACGTTCCAAGGATAGGAATAAAGTTCCTAATACATGGATGGTGCTTAAAGGCGACCCATCATTACTATAGGAAAAGGTGGCGGCTTTGGCTTTCAGACCGTCGGGCCCTTTAAGGCGGTGTCTCCTTAGTCGCTTGAGCGAGAGTTCCCACCCCTCCCTCGGGCCAAGGGCGGAGCCTTCTAACCCGGAACTGACGGCCACACGTAGCAGGCGCTGCCAATCCGCGCCCCGGAAGGAGCGAGCCTGCGGAGCAAAGCGAGTGAGTGAAAGCTGCGCCGCCCGTTGGCCGCAGGCGTGGCTGTAGCGGGGCGTCCCCTTACTTCTCCACTCCGGTTCCCCGAGACCGAGACGGAGTAGCGTGTAACTACCCTACCTGCTGGCACGTCGGTTGCCGTATAGGGCCTCCCCATCCCCCGCCGCCCGCGCCCCTGCGTGGGCTCGGCGCGTGGTGCTCACACACTGTCCCCGCCGCGGCGCCCGGGGTACCTAGCCTCCCCGTCTCGGTCCCCGGCCCCTGCCCTGTCGCCCGGCCGCCGGAGCGGTGATCGCCCGCCCCGCCGTTCTTCCGTTGCCATCACTGCCAGCACCATGGGCAGTGAGCAGAGCTCCGAGGCCGAGAGCAGACCCAACGATCTGAACTCCTCAGGTCGGTGTCCTAACCTCCCACTCCCCTCCAGCCGGCCCTGTCTGCTTGTGGGGCGGACTGCCACCCAGCCTAGTGGGATCTGGGAACGGTGGACGGGAACGCACAGAAATTCATCTTGCTTTTTCTTCTTTTAAAAAAAGTCACTGTCTGTCCTAGCCTAGATGCTGCTGATGGCCGTGAGTGCCTTTGGGTGCAAGCTAAGCCAGTGTGGGCGCACATGCCCATTATTTGCTTCTCCCAGCTGCAGCCCAGTCTTTGAAAGACTGACCTAATTAATTTTTAGCAGTGGTTAAGAGCTCGGCTGCAACCAGAGTCGACAGTTCGAATCCACCAGCCGCTCCTTGGAAACCCTACGGGGGCAGGTCTTCTCTGTCCTATAGAGTCGTTATCGACTTCTCGGCAACGAGTTTGGGTTTTTTCTTGTTTTTTTTTTTTTTTTTTTTACTGACATACTGATATTTGGCTTATAGTGGATGGATTGGAGCAGGATCCGTAAGAACAGGCTTCTTTTTAAAAACAGGTCGTAGAGGTTCCTTTTGAGAAGGGATGTGTGATAGGTGTATAACCAGTTTGAACCCTTGGGGTAGAGGGTGCAGTCGACCCTAGAAACTGAATTTTCCCTTCAGAAGGTATCCTGGCCCTCTTCCTACGGCCCAGCTGGCAGACTCTGGTGTTTCTCAGTATTTGAGATGGGGAGAATTATTGTGCCTGGAACAGATTGTGTGCTTAATAAATAAAACAGCTGATGCTTAGCAAAGGACCATTTGCCTTTTTTTGTTTGTTACCCACAAACCTTTGGACAACTGGAAGTGCCCTGGGTTAAATCTGGGCCTAAAAAGTGCCCCTGGTCATTGAACTGCTCAGTTCTTGTCAATCAGAAATGTAGAAGTTAGCAGATCTAGGGGCTCCACCTTGAAGGGTGTCCTTCAGGATTAGTTCAGACCTGCATTCTGGGGGCTAGATTGGAACACCATTTAACCGTGAGCAGCATCTGCTAGCTTTGCTACATTCTTCTATTTCTGTGGAAGATCCACAAGGTTATATCTGTTACAACAAATACAGTAATCATTGCTATCTCTTCCTTTCTTGTCTCTGTGTCAGGCCAGAAGCAGGTTTTGGGGAAGAGGTGTGGCATCCTTTTAATATGTTTGCTCTCACACCAACCAACTGCATAGGCTCATTCCGGATGTTAGAATTTGCTTATTTTCCTGTGCCAACTGCTTTGCATACATTTACATTTGACCCACACAATAACCCCATTATAGAGAAAAGGTAGGGGCTAGAAAGTAGTGAAGTCAGCATTCTTCTGGTCTGGGGAAGGGGAATCAGACTTGGTTTGTGTCAGCAAGATTTCTGGCATGGATTTTGTAGAACGTTAAGTAAATTGCCTGAAGAGATTAAGCAGTCTTCCTTGAAGAACGATAAAAATAGCAGAGAATCGGAAAGAGTGAATGCTTAGCCACAGGAGACCTTAGCCTCAGGAGGCAGGGCAGTTCTGTGGTCTCTCTGGCTGGACCTTGGCGTCATGACTGTGATTAGCCTGAGAATGCTAACTTCTAGGGTATAAAATACTTTACAGGTTCATTCTAAACCCAACCAGGGCGTTATTTGGGAAAAGGAGGATGCTTGGTCTTGGGGAGTCCTTTATAATTTGAATCACTTCCCTCCAAATGGATTACAGGTCTCAAACCTGTTGCCATCAAGTCGATTTCGACTCACAGTGACCCTATAGGACAGAGTAGAACTGCTCCATAGGGTTTCCAAGGCTTTACAGCAGCAGACAGCCACATCTTCCTCCAGCGTAGTGGCTGGTCGGTTCGATCCACTGACCTTTCGGTTAGCAGCAGAGAGCTTTCACCACTGTGCCAACCGGGCTCCTACAGTCTCTCAGGGGATCTGAAATTGCCCAGCTTCTCCAGCAGTCCTCTAAATTTCTGAATTTTGTCTAGGCCTAGAATGGACCTAGTGGTTGTTTCTGCCTTTCTTGGACTAATGTCTGTAACTTTGCGGGTGAGAGGGCTGGAGTCTCAGGAATGAACTCATCATCTGGGATTGAGTAGCAGGGGTTTTCCTCATAACTAGAATCTACTGGAGCCCTGGTGGTGCATGGTTAAGAGCTTGGCTGCTAACCAAAAGGTTGGCAGTTCCAATCCACCAGCTGCTCCCTGGTGATCCTATGGGGCAGTTCTACTCTGTCCTATAGGGTCGTTATCAGTCAGAATCAATTCTATGGCAGTGAGTTTGGTTTTTGGGTTTTGGTTAGGATCTGTTCGGCATACCTGGCCTGTGATCGTGTGGATAGGCAGCTTTGGAACTGTAGTGTCACAGGGATGGGCCATGTGCACGTATGACTCATGGACCTTCAATTCCTTTCCTAAGTCTGTTTTTAGCACTGTTGACCTTGGACAAGTCACAGCCAAGTTTTGTACCTTCATTTCCTTATTGGTAAAATGAGACAAATGTCAGGAGAATCAATGAAGTAAAAACTAAAAACGCGGTATGGTTAGACTTTTATGGGCTGAATAATAAAATACTTTTAATTGCAAAAGCAATACATGTGTTTTACGTTCCTGTAATGTTTGAATTTTTTTTTAACACTGTAGAAAGTAGAAGTCCCCTATAATTCATCCCTCCCTGGCCCCCACTGCAAGATAACTGCGGCTTGCGTTTTGTTGTGTAAAAAGCTTCTTTTTAATGACTACACTGAAAACATCTTTGTGAGGCAGAGGTGGCTAACTAACGCAGCTCCTGAGCAGTGTAACTTTGTTTTCAGTGACCCCTTCTCCAGCTAAGCATAGAGCCAAGATGGATGATATCGTGGTTGTAGCTCAGGGCTCCCAGGCCTCACGGAATGTCAGCAATGATCCTGATGTCATCAAGCTGCAAGAGATTCCAACCTTTCAGCCGCTTTTGAAAGGTAAGAGGTTGCATTTTGCCTTATGTTACCTGGAGATTTTGCATAGCCCCACTACTCACACCCCAGATAGCCATGTGCCTTTCTCCCTCACCTCCTTTACATCTTCAGCATCCTTGCAGTGAAACCTTCTTTGACTGCCCTATTTAGAATTGCAACCCTTTTCCCTGCATATTTTTCTGTCTAACACTTAATCACCATTGGCCTACTGCATAGTTTATATCTTTACTGTCTGTATTTCTCTGCTAGGCTTTGAGCTCCATAATGGCAGGAACTTCATGTGTTTTGTTCCCTGTTGGATCCCAAGCACTTGGAATAGAGCCTGGTGCAAAGTAGGGACTGAGTGAATGAATGAATGAATGAATGTCAAAGTTGGCCCTTACCCTTATCCATGAAAGGAATGTCATTCTTGTCTGTGATCTGGGCTATGGGTTGACTAGCTCAGATTCATTGAGAAAATCTCTGTGACCACTGATAAAATTGTAATTAATCCTGGTAGCTGTCTTGAATGAGGGGAATGTGTATGGTTTGGTACAAACCATCAGCCTACCTGATTAGCATATATTGAGGTAGTTACCTTTTAATATGGAGGCCATAACTTTATTATTTTCATATCTCCATTAAGTAGTGGAGATGATTTTCTATTAACTGAATGGGGTTTCTGCTATAGCAGAAGTCCCTCTCTCTTTCACCTCCCCCCCCATATTAAAAAAACCCATTGCTGTTGAGTCGGTTCTGACTCATAGGAAGCCTATAGGATACAGTAGAACTGTCCCCTGGGGTTTCCAAGGCTGGAAATCTTTACGGAAACAGACTGCCACATCTTTCTCCCATGGAGCAGCTGGTGGATTCAAACTGCTGACCTTTCGGTTAGCAGCCAAGCACTTAACCATTGCTCCACCAGCGCTCCTTCAAGATTTTGGTTGTTGTTAGGTGCCAACGAGTCAGTTCCAACTCATAGCGACCGTATAGACAGTAGAACTGTGCCTTAGGGTTTCCAAGGAGCAGCTGGTGGATTTGAACTGCTGATCTTTTGGTTAGCAGCCACGCTCTTAACCACTGCACCACCAGGGCTCCCCTTCAAGATTAGGAAATATAAATGGATATTAGGCCTTGATTTACTTAAGCTGGTATAATATAAAACATCCTACATTTGTATAGCTATTTGTATGAAAAAGTACCCCCACCACATACATATATCATCCCTTTCATTCTCACATTCTTCAATATATTTGAATGATTTGTGCAATATCAGACAGCTGGCAGATAGAAAGGTTGAACTTGAACCTTCTTTGCTGACTTCAAATGCTATACTAGTTAGACTGTTATACACTATAAACAAACGGTCCTTTACGTATGATCCATACACCATCTCACTTTTCCCAGTACTTCATCTGTTTTATGGATGAGGAAACGCAAGCTTTCAGTCTGTTCCCCCTAGGCTTCAGGGTTAGACTTTGGTAACCTCTCTGGCTCGTACATAAAACAATACGTTATATCCTATTACCCATCTTCTTATTAGTTCCGACGAAGACAACTTAATGAAATTTCCATTTCCACATATCCTTGTTTTAAACATGGTACAATCAGGTTAGAAGACTTAGCTTTCACCTTTAGAAATTTAGAGCTGGATCCTTATTCTGTACTCCATCTCTTCTGGAGTCGCAAGTGGTACTGCCTGACAGTCACAACTTTCATGCTACTTTGTTGTGGTTGTCGTTGAGTCGATTCCGACTCATACTCCATAAGGTTTTCAAGGCTGTGACCTTTCAGAAGCAGATCACCAGGCCTGTCTTCTGAGGCGCCTCTTGGGGGGTTTCCTTCTCCAACTTTCTCCTAGTGGTTGAGTGCTTAACCGCTGGCCCCACCCAGGGACTCCATTTTCATGCTTCTGCTTTCTGTTAACTCTATCATCTCTCTCCCCAAACTATCCTCTGGTCCTGAGTGAAGCCTTAGTGACCAAGACTTATCCCATTTTAGAGAAATACTTAAAAAGAAAAGAAAGAGCAAAGCAAAACCTTTGAGTGTATTTAATAATTTTCTGATTTTAGTTTTTGTTTTTTAGGCTTTTGAGATGATTCCTATTTTATGATAATAAACTGATTAATAGGGGAAGCATCTGGGAGAAGGCTTGATGTTCTCAGATTTAAAATCATCACTGGGAACTCCAAAGTGAATAATTAATGTGATATAGTTAAAAGAATACTGGACTCGATTGCATTGACACCTGGGTTTTAATTGTGACTTTGCCGCCAACGAGCTATGTTGCCCTGGTTGTGTTTTTCCACTGCTTTGTTAAGAGCATTGAGAATAGGTGCCAAGGGAATAAAGCTGGCGAGAAGCAGGTTACAGTAATGTGATTTGGGGTTTGGCCAAGGAGGGTAGAGAAATCACTATTTGCATTTTTTAGATTAATACATTGAGGCTCAGAGAACTTTAATCAGTTGCCTAAGGTCACATGGCTATAAGTGATGGCCCATCTCAAGATGCATCAGAACATCTACTTTGAACTATTCTGCACGCAGAATAAGACTCGGTTTCCAGCTCTAGCAGAGCCGCTACAGTAATCAGCAGGCTGGAGTAGGAAGCGCTGGTGGGTGTGAGGTTGTTTGGGTTTTAGCTGCAGTGTTAGTTGCAGAGCCTCTCGCTTTGACATTGTTCTGCCTGGTAATTTAAAGCCCTGCCGTCTGCCTGCTGGGCTGTGCAGGGGCCGCTCATCACTGCTGCCTTTGTACTCCCATCTCTTTTTCCCCTTCACTGCTTTCAGGATGAGGCTATTTCTCAAAGTTGTAAAAAGGGCCACACAGTGAAGGCTGTACCCCCCAGGTTTGATTTCAGAAAGCTTTTATTCAACTTAATGACAGTTTATTTTTTGAAAACAATATATTCAAGTAATACACAGAGTTCACTATTGTCCCATGATGTCATATGATGTAATGCTGATGCTGGTGGGTGAGCTGCAGAGGCAGTGGCTGGGCGAGTTTGGGGCTATTCGTATGACTGAGGTAATGTTTGCATTTTTAATAAGCAAGCAGATTCTTTCTTTGATCTTAACCCTTTCGGATAAGTATTAAAAAAAAAAAAAACCTCGCTGTTGTCAAGTTGATTCCGACTCATAGCAACCCTATAAGACAGAGTAGAACTGCCCCGTAGGGTTTCCAAAGCTGTAAATCTTTATGGAAGCAGACTGTCACATATTTCTTCCGCGGAGGAGCTGGTGGGTTTGAACCACAGACCTTTTGGTTAGTAGCCAAGTGCTTTAACCACTATACCCCCAGGGCTCCTATTCAATAAGTATACCAGAGTGCAATTTAATATAATGCCAAATATCTGTTCCTCTTTTTTTTTAACATTGCTTTTTCGTAGCAGTCTCTGAATTAGCAATTTATCTGGAAATATAAAACATTTAGCGGAAAATGAAGGATTAGAAAATTAGAGAAGAAAGTAGCAATAAATGGCCACAACAGAACACAAAGCAAAATGTAGTAGATTTGATATAAATTAGATTCCTAGGGGTTAAACAAGGCCTATCAATTTCTTACTTAAAATTCAACCACTCATAGTTTTTAATGACTCCCACTCTATTTTATGTCATTCTATAGATATGAAATATTCACAGTAGAAATGCAATATTGTTAAATGTTTCATATGTAAAAGTTGTAAAAATAAATAATTCTTCCATTCACCATTGCTGGATGAATATATGCACACACGCACGCACGCATGCACGCACGCACGCACGCACGCACGCACGCATGCACGCACGCACGCATGCACGCACGCACACACACACACACGCGACATTCTTTGCAACTGATCTACCATTTTTGTTACCGAGCTTGGATACAACATAAGAGATTGTTCTGCCTCGGGAAGGGACTGTCACTGTACCAGCGAGGAAGAGCAAAAGCATAAAATGTAGATGCTTAAGTGATAACTAAGCAGCTTTTCTGGGAGTTCTGTATTTGGTTGTTGAGAACATGATACATGTGAAGTAGATTTTGATAATTAATGAGCCGGGGGCTTTCCTTGGTGGAGTAAAATCTTATGGGACAGCAGTGAAGATTCTCACATCACACTGACTATCGAGAACTGCTGCTTGAGAATTGGAACCGGGTGAGAATGAAGTGGGGAAACGGTTGATAAGAAGAACAAGAGGGGGCTAGACATCAAACCAGTTTCTGCACATCCTTCTCACCTACGAGTCTATAGCCAGACAAGTACAGATAGAAAGGCTTTGCATTTATCAGAAGCCCGTCTCTGCTGGCCTTCAGACCTTACCTCTGCGTTCGAAAATGCAGTGCCAGAGGAGGGGAAGAGCAAATGGATCTTGATCACAGCCACAGTCTTAAAGGTAAGCCCTAAGCCTAGGGTTGATCCTCCGAGTGTGGTATTTGCCCCCAAACACTAGATTTGAAATGTTGGTGACTTCTTGACTACCTCGTAGATTTATTTGTGTGTGTATAGCCCTTCAGTTAACCTTTTAAACATGATCGTTAAGCAGAGAAGTGCTGGCCTTACTTGGCAGAGCAGGAAGCCTCAGGTGAGTGGTCATGCTCAGCAAATTGAGAAGATGAAGCTATGTCTCAAGAGCGGCCTCGGTTTTTTTCTTCACTCCAGTAAATCTCTGTGTGCCTGCATCCATTCTAGTCTCTCTCCATTAAACCTCAGAAGGTGTCTGCCTTTCTTTGGAACTTAATACCTCTTCATTCCACTCTTTCCTCCCTTTGCTGGGACTTTGCTTCTATACTTTCTTTCTCTCTAGCATCTAGATTGTTGTTGTTGTTAGGTGCCGTCCAGTTGGTTCCAACTCATAGCGACCCTGTGTACAACAGAACGAAACACGGCCAGGTCCTGCACCATCCTCATAGTCATTGCTATGCTTGAGCCCATTGTTGCAGCCACTGTGTCAGTCCATCTTGTTGAGGGTCTTCCTTTTTTTCAGTGACCCTCTACTTTCCCACACATAATATCCTTCTCCAGAGACTGATCCCTCCTGATAA